CAGGAAGATCCTACATTTGATAGCTCATCGAATGTTCTGGTAGTCAAGCATGGCTTTGATGTCTTCCAGATGGTCTTCTGGGTCCGTCGTGCCATCATAGGTGGAGAGGGCGGGCAACTTCTCCATCCCGTGGGAGATAGGGGTCTCTATGATGTCCGACGACAATGGAGTCCAGCGACTGTCCTTGTCACTTTAGACAAGGGAGCATGAGGGGGAAGGATTGCGTCGAGGTAACTGGTCGCGACCCTTCGTCCTCTTGCTCGGACCATCAGGTCTGCTCTTCCTCGGGGTCGGGGAGCGCCTCTCCTTCCGGGGGATTACCTCTCACGCTTCTTGGAGGCCACGATTTAGGGCCTCTCCAATTATGGTCGGCGCCATGTTGACAGGGAGAGGGGCTCCGGGAATCCTCGCGTTAGGATCTCCGTGGAGGAGATGTTGGTCGTGTCTCGTGCAGTACGGGAGAAAGGCTCTGGGAGGGATGGCGGTGTCTCCATGGAGGAGAGCGAGACGGGCGATCCTGTTCTAGCATCTCGATACGCTCGTTCTGCTGGAACAGCATCAAGTTGGTCTGGTTGATGGCTGCGAAGAGGGCTGTCATCGTCGAATTCACACCTGCTGGAAAGCAGCTGGGCTCCTTGCTCGAGGGGCGGCGTTGCGCATTGCGTCGTCAGATGAAGAAGAGGTTGTCTGCCCATCCTTAATGTCACCGTCATGGTCGTTGACGAACCCACCATGATCTTCACTGTTGGTGAGCAGGTCGACGGCGGGGTTATGGACAACATCGTCGTGGCGTGGGCTGGCCATGATCGCAGAAGTTGATGAAAGCTTTGGTTCTATTGCTCGGAAGAACGGGGAAGCTTTAGGTTCCCACAGACGGCGCTACTGATCTCACTTGATCAGAAGGAGTCACTGACCGGCCATATGTCTGAGTTGTCTAGCTGCTGGGAGAATGGATGAAGTGTACCTGAAACACATTCTGATGCCAAAGTAAGGGTCAGGAAGAGTGATAACAAGTACAAAAAGAGGAGTAAGAATGAGATTACCTGACCCTCTAGTGAAAGAGGGTATTTATAGTATGCTCCCAGCGCAGGGCCAATGGTTACTTCACATTGGGCTGGGCTTCCAGGCCCAATGATGGTAACTGCTAGGGCTGACATGGCGTCAGGGAGACCAGCATGTGGTATTCGCCCTAGTGTAATTGCTTTATGCTATCCGTGAGGTGGAGGACCGACTAATCAGAGAACAGGTAGTTGCTAAATGACGTATCTCCGCATGGGGGACATGTTGAGAACGTGGGGGAGGTCAGAGGAGCTCCCTGAGCTGGATAGGGTCTGCCCGACGGTTGGGCAGAAGGGAGAGCGTACCTGGCAGACGTGAGGTGTCCGCTCAACTGCCAAGAGGTTTGTATCCGATGGGAGAAAAGGCTTTGCCTGACGGGGAGGCGACTTAGGTCTTATTGGGTCTTCCAACCCGATGTGAGGTGGGACTTGCTCGACTATGGCCCAAGTGTCGGCCTATTCCAGAACAGCAAGGTTATTTATGTTATGTGAATATTTGAACATAGTTTTTTATGTGATAATTTATGTCACTTTTTTAGAAATCTTTTAAAATTGTTTAAATTATGTCTCAATAATTTAATATGTATATTACTTTTATTGAACAAGTGACTTTAAACATAAGAGGAAAATGAGGCGTGGATATAAAAAAAGTTTTAAAAATGTTAAGAAATAAAAGAGTTTTACGCGGAAGGAAGATGAGAAACAATACTAAAGATAATAGACTGAAAAATAAAAGAGACGAGTGAGAAAGGAAAACATACACAAAGTTTACCACAATTCAACCCAAAACATGTAGCCTACGTCCAGTACCAAATAGAGCACCTTGAGATTTTCATAAACAACCATGACTTTAGAATATATTCAAGAATATATTCAATTTGTAACCTTTACACTAAGCTTTTAACACGTCTTTAGCTTGCAACATTTACATCTTACAAGTTCAAGAGAAATAGTATCTCTTAGTTTACAATGAGATCATAATAATCGCAGCAGTTACAAACAATTTCTATATTGGGGTTTCTCTCTTAACACAAAAATATATATCAAGTGAATAAAAATTATGAAACATATATATATATATATATATATATATATATATATATATATATATATATATATATATATATATATATATATATATATATATATATATATATATATATATATATATATATATATATATATATATATATATATATATATATATATATATATATATATATATATATATATATATATATATATATATATATATATATATATATATATATAGAGAGAGAGAGAGAGAGAGAGAGAGAGAGAGAGAGATGACTTTTTGTGAGGTTTTTAGTTAACTTGTGTGTTTTTCAATTGATCATTATGGTCATATATATATATATATATATATATATATATATATATATATATATATATATATATATATATATATATATATATATATATATATATATGTGTGTGTGTGTGTGTGTGTGTGTGTGTGTGTGTGTGTGTGTGTGTGTGTGTGTGTGTGTGTGTGTGTGTGTGTGTGTGTGTGTGTGTGTGTGTATACGTTACCATAATTTATCATATACAAGCTCAAAACTCGTGTTTTTCAAATGATCATTAGGGTCCTATATATAGTTGAGTTGCCATAACTTCTCGTATTGCAAGTTCAAGAGAAAAGGTCTATCTTGCATTGTAATGAGATCTATTAGCAATTACAATTAGTTTTTATATAGGGATTTCTCACTTAACACAACAAGATATATTAAGTTTATAAAAATTATGAAACGGAAAGTAATAGAGAAACAAATTTTTGTAGGATTTTGAGCTGATTTGTGTAATTTTTAAATGATCATTAGGGTCCTAGTTGAGTTGGTCTGGGTATTTTTCAAACAGAGCAGAGACAAAAGTTGAGATTGAGTAGGTCTGTGTATTTTTCAAATGATCATTAGGGTCCTAGTTGAGTTGGTCTACGAGATATTATGTACATATTTGCTGATTTTGAGAGTCAACAGATAGTGTAGATATTTGTTGATTTTTAGAGTCACCTGGTACCGAACGGGGTTCGGGCTACCATAACATCGAATGACTGGAGCTACGTCGATAGATATATTAGGTAGTTATTCAGGATGTCACATCCGTACATGGTGTAGAATGCTCCAGGAATCTACCGAGACCAACTCATCAAGAGATTCTAGAAGAGGAGCAGACTCAGCTAGATCATATTGAGGATGTCTTGCCTCAGTGTCGTCGCTTAATTGAGATTGCGCAGGATGGCATTGACGAGGGTATCTTCCTTGAAGGGTCTCCTGTTAGGCGAGTTCTGGATGGCATGGTAGCAGAGGCACAAAGGATACTATTGTACCAGTGAAATCGTCGGAGGATGGAGGGATCAATGAGCGAGGGGATAGAGCAGACAAAGTAGGTAGATATTGTACCAGTGAAATCGTCGGAGGATGGAGGGATCAATGAGCGAGGGGATAGAGCAGACAAAGTAGGTAGATGAGAGGTTGTCAGACACACCTAGTAGTAGTCTGTTATTATTTTGATGGTGTATTATAGTTTGTACTTTATTCTGACATTGTCACTACATTTTGGATCTCATGTTATACGTCATTTTACTTTTATATTGCTATATTATTTTCGACACACAATATTAATCTTTTATTATTGTGTACGTCTGTTTTTTTCATCTGAAAATAAATATACAGTTTGGCAATGTGGGTAATTGTCTAAACTCTTAATAATTTCACATTAGATGAGATTTTTTTGGCAATGTATTTATAAATGATGATAGTTCTCGTCTCGCAAGTTTTGTAACATCGAACTAAGCATGACTCGAATTTTAATATAATATCAAAATATATCCAAGATGAGTTACACTCCCAATGTTCAATCCTACATGTGAATGGTGAGTATGTTAAGTGTTGAAAGGTTGAGTTAAACTCAATTCAAATTCTAATACAAAGCGCATTATAAATTGGAATACAGTGGGAGTCTATCTTCGTGATTTTATAAAGATGGTACGAGAGAATCCAAAGTAATGTGAGCGAGATGGACATATGCCTTATTTCGAAAGCAACTCGTTATGAGTTTGTTATTCAATTTAGACCTATAATAAGTTTTGCAGTACGTTGGAACAAAAAGTGAGTAGTGAAAAGAAAACATCTTCTCAAAAATGTTTGTATAAGTATTTGTGATAGATAGATTTATCCAATTGTCAAAGTGTAAAGAAGCCAAGGCGTTGCTGGGGAAGTACTTAGGGTGCCTCTAATAGGTAAAGCACCTAAGAGACTACTAGACTGTCAATATTTGATTGAGCAGGTTAGTAGTAAACTCAGCGTGAAAAGCTAAATAATTGACATTTGTTGGAAAAGTAACTTTGGCAAGAATTATCGTAGTTATACCAACTTATTCAATCATGGAAATGTCTACCAAAGTGCTTGCATGATATTCAGAAAACCAGAGGGGTGGCAAATTTGATTAATGATCATGGATCATGAAGGTGCAAGTTGTTCATCCTCCAATGAATGTTAATGGCATATACAAGGTTGCGTGGCTGATGAATAATGCAGTAAATTCTCTATTACAGAATAGAACATGCTCAAAATAAGTAACTAAAATCTTTAGATTAGTAGGGTGACTAGATCCATATAAGCATTGCTAGGATCTGCATACACAAAATAACAAAGACGACACAATTTCCATTCCTCCAAATATACCTATTTTCATGGAGTAAATTTTAACATCTTATGTACAGCCTACAAAAAAGGTTTTGAACTCTGAACCTGTGACATGAAACGTCCAAACTCGGTATTAATAATCACAAAGTACTCGAGACTGAATCCAAATCCTGCACTCAAACATAGATATCATCATGTTAGACAATTACGTTCCTCCACTACATTAGAAAAACTCTACACAACAGACTTTAGCAATGCTTACTTGCTCGGTAATTTTTTACATCCAGCCAGCAAATTCTTTTGGTGGTTCAATCCAGAGGTTCTCAAAAGCTTCTGGTTCTATCCAGTCATGACACTGCTTATTGGGATAATATCTATGCTCATCAAGCGAGAACAATATGCAACGCTTTCCATAGATAAGGACTTTAGAGAAGTAGACACTGTTTCTCATTATTTCAGCGACGTAAGTCCTAGAAAGAGATGAAAAAGAACTAGCAAAAACTGTCACCCCATCTAGCGTTCTCACCTCTTTCCATTCCATTAGTGTGTGATCTAACTTGAAAATAATTGGACTCTCGGGACAAGATATATGAATAACAAATATATTTCCTTCGTGCTCTGTCATAAATTTCCCTTTCCGTCCTTGTCTGGCAATAACACTCTTTACGCTTCTGGGTGGGGGTACTTCCAGAACAGTCCAAGTACATTCAACCGGGTCAAATGCGCCTAGAAAACCTTCGTAACTCAGACAATAAAATAACCCATTAGAAAAGACAATCTTAGTCCTTGTGCAACAGGAAAAATAAGAGCGGTTTCCATAGTTAACAGTTGTCCATTCTTTTGCCCCAGGATAACATGTGCTAATAGCTACTACAGTAGAACCAACATGCTTAGCTGTAAATATCACACAATCAGCTGATGTTGGAGCACAAGAGAAGGCGGCAATGGGGTTTGCAGCGTTAAATCTAGGCAGCTTGATCAGCTCCCTAGTAAAGGGATTAAAGAAAAAATATGGGTGATCATCAGGCCACCAGTTCCGACGTATCACCAATAACCAACCATCTTTCGTATAGACAACACGACACCTATCTAACACTGGAAACTCGAGGGAATACGTTTTTCGCTGCACAGGATCATAAAAGTCATATCGGTTATCCTTTTTTGGGAAATACATAAGCCAGGGTGATTGGTTCACTGGACGTACAGAACTTGCAACTGAATGCCATCTCTTGCAAACAACAGAAGCTCGAATGTTATCCACCACAACCAAGCGAGAGAAGATCAACTCTAAGAGTTCAACAGGCAGATCAGCCCAGGTTTGCTGCTCAAAATTTTCACTTTTCACCTCAGCACCGGCTCTTCTACTGTCTGTGACTTTATCACTTAACCAAAATAATAAAATAAGTATCAGATATATTAGGTGAAATTCAAAAACCAGCTTAGTATGCCGAAAGATTAAAACATAGTCAAAATTACACATTTTTTTCAAAAGATATATTTCAAGAATAAGTTTTATGAAAAGTTATTCAAAACAGCTTTAAATTTAATTAGTTTTTTGAAATTTTGATATCTAAAAATTATAATAAAAGAATGAAAACAATTTCTTGATAATAAAAAGTGAGACTGTATGATCCATATAAACCCTAGCAATCAAATCATAACAATCACAACATAGGTCTGAAAAACTGTGCATGCGACTTTGGATTTTAAATTGATCAAGAAATGAAAAACCATAACAGTGCTTCAGGTAAACCCTCAAAATATCCAAAATAAACTGTAAAGATAGAAAATCGTTGAAATGCAAATTTGAAGTATGGGTTAGGGATGAAGGGAACATACGATTTCAACTTCTTTTTCATTTTTCCTTTCATGATGCGAATGCGAACCCAATTGCTTGATGAAGTAGGGAGAGACACTGTTGAACTTCTTGCTGCATAGCCCAATGAACGAAATGGTGGTCGAAATGGAATAATTTCATGTATCTATAAATATATATAATTTTTAATATTATTCTTTTATTTTTTATGAAAATAGTAGTCTTTTAAATATAATTTATTTATAATATGCTCTTAGACTAAGTTTTCAAAAACTTTTTTTTTATATTTAAGTTAAATGATTTAAAGGCTCTGCTCATGGGATAAATATTAATATTATTAGTTTTTTTTAAAGGAAATCCAAATTATATTACATCAAAATATTGCAATTGAAAATAAATATCATAGACACGTTTGATGTGTTTTTTTTCGGTGGAAAAGTGATTTTCAACAAGAATTTTCTAGGTCTTAATGACTAAATTTTTTATTGAGATAGTTTAAATTTCTAATCTTCGAATTAGGGATCAAATTGACGAGATTCTAGCTGTATGAAGCTCAATTAGGTTAGGCGTTTGCTAAGGCACGTGGATCGTGGTGAGGTTGACCGAGAAAAATGGCGACAACGACACCTCCGACGATGGAACGAGTCTTTGCACCGCCATCTAACGCTCGAATAGAATGGTTTGATAACTGATTGGAAGGATCAAGTCTAACAAAGGGAAATCAAAGATAAGAAACACTAAAAATACTAGAGCCGATAATAGAGGAGGGCAAAGAGGAAACCATGGAAGAACACAAAGAAAATCACATCTAGGAACCTGCAATCGAAGATCAACCAAAAGCTTGGGTGTATATCATAAAAAGTAGTCGACTATCCTCTAATGAAATCGAAATAAAATATATAGCCCTAATAATAGTGAATGAAGAATAAAAGTTGTGATAGAAGAACAAGATGTAGTTTATGAGTTGAAGTATTGGGAAAATGCACTAATAATTATACCATATGAGAAGGCCTTTCAATTAACGCAGTTAAGAAATACATGGTGAATTTATGGAACTTTGTATCTCTACCTGAACTATACTACAATGAAGAGGGATATTTCATTATACAATTTAGATAAAAAAAACGTATAGGGATGCAGTTCTTATGAGAGAACCTTATACTATATAAAATAAGAATGTGTTTTTTGCAAGAATGAACACCTCAGTTTAGCTTGAAAAATGATTTGTTAAGAGTCTTACTAATGTGAGTGATGTTCCCTCAATTACCATTAGTCTTTTGGGGGGTGAAGAGCATTGGGAAGATTGAAGGTGGCAAGAAACACAAGAAAGAGGGGTTTGAATTGAGTTTCTAAAAAATAATCTTTTTTCAAAACCAATTTAACAAGCAAACACATAATAATAAAAATAACGAGTTATTTTTATATTGTTTCGTTGTTAACTAAGTTACCTCCAGTCCACCTTACCAAGGTGATTTCACCTTCTCAATAAAGACTTAATCCACTATAACCAAACAGATTACAAAAACCACAAAGACAATTGTCTTTGTCTTCTTGAGTATACAGACTAAACCCTAGTTACTTAAGATAATCACTCAAACAGATTTGAGGTTTTACAAATTGTGTTTACAAAGATTACTTCTATAAAGAAGATTAACATAACGATTAAGTATAGTGAGAGATTCATACAATATGAACAAAAGTTCTAAGTGTGTTTACAGTAATCACAAGAAATAATATTATCAAAGAAAATGCAGCAACGTATGAATAATGTATTAATATTGTTCACAAAGTAACAACTCATTCCATTCTTCTAACTCTTCCTTTTATAGACAAAAAAAGATCTGTTGGAGGGTAGTATGGGAATCTTCAAGATTGAGTTGACACCTTGAATAATTGTCATCAATTGTAGGAGACAAAATAGTACATCATTAATGTCCTTACTCCATAAATCTGCATGGTGGAAGGAATGTTTTGGTCTTGTACTGTGTATTATGTATCTAACGTAATAGTTTGTTCTTATCATATTTTAATCATTAGAGGCTTCTGAATGTAATTGTTGAAGCATGGTTAGAAGAATTAAGAGACTCGTTGAGAATCTTCAGATCTAAAGTATTTAGAGCCTTGACACTGTTCATCAGAATTTGGTCTTCATAGTATTCAACAATTCATTCTTCAGAATCTTCAAATCTTGAGCATAGAGTCTTTGAAGAAAACAAAACCTTTAGAGGCTCTTTAGTCAGAGTCACGATAAGAGGCTTTAGCACAAATGTCTTTTAGAACTGTTGTCTAACTGCTTTCTAGATCTTGACTACTTCTTGCAACACGCTTGTTTCTCTTCAGAATCAGAGTGTGTTGATTCAGAACCTGATGACGTCACTCATCAAAGTTTTAGAGTCATAACCTGTATAACAAAAGGTACACACTTGACAGAAACCATTAGAATACAAAATTGTTCTTTAAGAATCAATGTATTGTTATCATCAAAACCAAAGGCCAGATGTAGAACCAAATCTTGGTCTAACAATCTCCCCCTTTTTTATGATGACAAAACCATGTATTTTGATGAACAATTTTTGTATAGTTTAATCACATAAAAATATCAGAGTGAGGTTTGTAAGCTCCTCTTGAATTTTATATTGTTAAAAATTATTCTAAATCTTAGAATGTCAGAGTTAGGTTTGCAATTTCCCCGTGAATTTAAGACTTATAAAACACTTTTAACACATATAAACATTTTAATTCAACATGAAAGAGATAACTTTCATGTTTGGCATAAGCCAAGTTGATATAACTTTATCTTCAGATTAGAGCTTAGTAAAATGATCAGAGTTTTCTGATATCTAGTATCAGAGCCTTTCTTGTTATAAGTGGTATCAGAGCAATTTATGTAACAAGTGATATCAGAGCAAGGTCATGAGTATCAGAACATAGCAAAATAAATTACTGAATTTGTCTTGTCCAAAGTACCAATTTCAGAACTTGTATGTGTCTGATTTAATTCTTTATAACCTGAAATACTTGGTTAGAATGATGAACTTTTTCAAAGTTCTTAGAAAATTACCAAGTTAAACAATTATAACCATGTTTGGGTTTACATAATGGGAATCAGATATATCAAAATCATTACACTCTTTCGCCCCCTTTGTCATCAATCAAAAAGAATAAAGAGACAAAGTAAATAAACTAAACAAAAAGATCATTTTCATTAATCAGAAAAGATAAACGAGTACAGAGCAGAAGGAAACATAAGATCATAACAAAGATAACACAAATTTAAAAACTAAGGTTCGGGAGGGTTTTTGGGTAGTTTAGAAAGAATCTCTGCAAGCAACCCTTCGATCTTCACATCCTTGCCTTCACTTATGAATTCTCTACAGCCAGAAACTCCAATTTCTTCATAACAAAATCCTCAAGACCCAAGGTCTCCTTGGTTCCAGAAACACTTGCAGCTTCCACAGAAGTCTCAACAGGAACCAAAGAAGTTTGAACTGGGGACGGTGGAGGAATCACTTCTGGTGTTAGGAGCAGAAGAGTGATTGGAACCTTCTGAAGTATAGGTTCTACTATACCAGAAAGTCTGGCATTGAAGTTCCTCTTGTCTTCTTACATCTAGGAAACCTCCAACTCTTCATAGTTGCCACAATCCATCTTCTGAAAGCCTCACTCAGATGACACACTTCAGAGAAGTTTGCATTGCCTCTACAAGCTTCAATGAGAGCATGGAATCTTCTATAAGCATTCTCATCTAATTGAGAAAATAAATCATCTAGGAGTAGGGTGAATGTTTGTTTTAGAGGGTGTGTTGGTTGTAGAAAGGTTGAGAGGGTCTATCTGCGTAGACAACGAGTTTATTTTCTGACTTATCATCAAAAATGGTGGTTAGTTGAAGAGTGTGAGTGTTTGGATGAGATTTGTTTGGTGGTGGTGGAATATTTTGGGATTTGGGTGAAAATATATCAAGTTGATGTAGTTCAAATATTTGAGATTGGGTTAAGAGAAAGGGTAGAAAAGTTAAAAGTTTAGCAACATATGGGGGAATGATAATAGAAATTTATAGGTAAAAAAAAGAGTTATATATTGGATTTGTGGTTTGGGGAGCAGATGGAACAATGGGTTCCAGAATGAATGGAATGGAGTAAGTTAAAATGGATGTCAGTATGGATGAAGTATTAACATCAGAGAGTTGAGGAGCGGTAGAAGTAGTAATAACTTCAGAAGAGCTAGTAGCAACGGCAACAACAGTAACAATAACATCAGCAACAACAACAACAGTAGCAGGCGTTGCTTCAAAAGATGTTACCAAAGTTCTCTTTGAATCCTTAGCTCTTTTTGAGTAAACTTCATGATCTCCTTGATTCCTTTTCCTCTTCTTTTTTTGCTTTTGATAAAATTTACTTATCTCCTTAATAGGTTTTGGTGCTGATAAAGGAGCAGAAAGAGCAGCCTCAGAGTCATTTTGACTTTTCTATACTCATTGCTAGCCGAAACTGGGTTGGAGAATAGGGGAAAGTCAACTAGGGGAATCCTTCTTCTGAGAATCTCCTACTTAGGGATTTCAAAAACTGGACTAGCCAAAGCTGAAATCATGCCCATATTCTTCAAAGTCCTAGTGAAGATTCTGGCAAGCACACGATGGATGTTATTACCAAAGTTATAACATCCACTATGACATCTGCTACTTAACAGTTAATACTCAGTAATAATAAAAGCAGTAAATAACACAGTAGTTGTTTACCTAGTTCAGTGTCAACAACACTTACATCTGGGGGCTACCAAGCCAGGGAGGAACTTCACTATTAGCAAAATTAATTCAGAGTCAAACAACACAGTTTGCACTCCTCACTTAAAACCTACCCAATGACAATTCAGCCTAGAGACACTCTAAACCTGAGTATACCCACTCACTCCCCCTCAATCACACAACAGTGATATCAAACAATTACAGAAGACAATATAAAGAGACATTTCATACACACCTTGATCTTGCTTCACATCTTTGATCAAGGAACTCACACACTCTTACTTCACAGCTTTGAGTGAGACACAACCTAGAAT